CCCAGGGAAGGCTTCCTGGAGGAGGTGGCATTCAGAGTGTTTCGTAGAATGAATAGTAGTTTTTTTGTTTGTTTTTGGGATGGAGTCTCACTCTGTCGTGAGGCTGGAGTGCAGTGGCGCGATCTCGGCTCACCGCAACCTCCGCCTCCCGGGTTCAAGCGATTCTCCTGCCTCGGCCTCTCAAGTTACTGAGACTACAGGCACCTGCCACCACACCCGGCTAATTTTTGTATTTTTAGTAGAGACAGGGTTTCACCTCGTTGACCAGGATAGTCTTGATCTCTTGACCTTGTGATCCACCCGCCTCAGCCTCCCAAAGTGCTAGGATTACAGGTGTGAACCACCGCACCTGGTTTAGATTAGGGGTTTTGGGTGGGGGTGGCCAGGTAACAGATGTTTGCTGCTGATTGGTTGGGGTGGAGATGAAATCATAGGGGGTGGAACCCTTCCTCCTGCAGCCGAATTGCTTCTGGTGGGGCCACAGGAGTGGGACTGTAGGTCCAGGTGGAGCCTTGAGGTCTGGGTGGGGCTGTAGGTTCAGCCAGGCACAAAACCTGGAAAGATCTCTCAAAAGATACTTTAAACTACAGCAGTGGTGTTATTTGCAGGAGTAATGAATGGGGGAAGTTGCATATCTGATACCCTCTGGGATAATGGCCGACCATCCTTTGTGTCTGCCCTTTAGTAGGACTCTGGTTCCCTCTTCCTGGAAGCCTGGGGGGCCTCCCATTAGCTTTACAAAAGCAGGTTTGGGGCAAAGCCTGTTATCAATCATTTGAACTGTAGCCTAAAGGTCTTCCAAAGTTAGCTCGGCCCAATAGCCCAGGAATAATGAAGGGAAAGACAGGATGGGGGCTGGGGTGGCTGAGCTCGGGGTTCTAATTGTCTCACTGATAGGACGTCTGCAAAGATGTCTGCAAAGGCTGCTTCTGGTGCAGGAGCCTGAGTCCCTGGGATGGGACGTTTTCAGGCGACATCATTCTGTTCCTTTTGAATTTTGAACCATGCGAACGATTCACTCACTCACCAAAACAGTGGTTTTTTAATACAGTTTTGAGGGTCCTCAGGCTGTCTGGGAAGCCGGGGAAGTGTCGAGCTTTGATCTGGTGGAGGCTCTGTGGACACACTTAGGTGGTGGAAATTTGCCGTGCTGCGCAGAGCTGTGGGAAGCCCGCTGTGGAGTGTGTGCTGGACATGGCCATCTGGCCTCAGTCTTGTTCTTGCTGTGCCTTCTCCACGTGACCTGCAGACCCCAGGACCCCACCCAGGGGACGTCTGCCAACGTTTCCTCTCCAGCTTGCGGCGTCTGACTTTGACCCTGGATCCCTGGCTCCTCACAAGCTATGAGGGAGGCGTGGGGATCCCCAGTGTGTGGGTGGAGAAGGGACAAGGGTCTCCCTTCCTGCCCCAGGCATACTACAGGCTGCTCCTGGTCTCCACGGGTCCCAGGTTGGCAGGAAACGGGGGCGGCACTGCCAGCCAGCCCGGAGTGTTGTCCCTGGCTGCTCAGCCTCTGAGGCCTGGAGCCTCCAGTAGGAACCCCAAGAGCAATGTGGGGACCAGATGCCTTTGAGACACCAACGAGCCTAAGTTTATTCGCTCCTTGAAAGCCAGATTCACTGATTCTGTGCCTCTTCCTCCATGGACTGTGTGCTGCCTCTTTAGGGGCCACCTGGGAGGAGGGATCCCTTGTGACCTTCCTGGAGCCTCCACTGGGACTCCTGGGGGCACCTCAGCCACAGGCCCCACCTTGGTGTCCTCGGTCGCCCTGGGTGGCGCCTCTGCTGTCTTGCTGAGTGACAAGCTGTCCTGGACTCTCAGACCACGGAACCTGCTCCTGGAGTGGAGGTTTCGACTCCCGCCTGCGGAGACGGGGCCCGGGCCACAGCTTCAGGCTATGACGAATCAGAGTCACAAAGTGGAGCCCCACCACCAAGGTCGGAGGGCCTGGGTCTGGGTTTGCAGATGGAGACGCTGAGGCTGGGGCGTGGGGAGTTTGGGGTGACCAGATTCCAGCCAGGGATGAGATAACAGCAGAATGACAGAACTCCAGTTAGGATTTTGCCTTTTTGTATCAAAGAGAATGATTTCACTGTTTCAATTAGTTACTTAGTTTTGAATAGGCAGTATATGCAAATAGTACAAAATTCAAAAGGTTCGAAGAATTCTTCGTGACGAGCAGGCTTTCTGCCCAGGCCCTGTCACCAGCTGCCTCCCCAGCGTACCCCTTGCCAGGCTCCTGGGGTCTTTTCAGAGGAATTCCTCCTGCCAGGGGACAGTGGTGAGATGAATAGATTGGACTTAAGTCACTGGGCTTGGACAAGCTACATTCTAGGGTACAGACAGAAAGAGCTAGAAAATGCCATCACCCAACCAGGGTCAGCAAACCCGAAGGAACTCTGGAAGATGCTCCAGGAAGTAACTGTCAGGCTGGCCAGGATGTTGGGGGCTGGGGTAGGATTTGTGAGATCCTGAGAAACGCAGCAGGCGTGTGGCATTCAGGTTTCAGGAGAGAGGCTGATGAGGTTATGACCCGCCTTGGAGAGACACTCAGGCTGGCCCCTGAGCCAGAAGCTGCGGTCCTCCAAAGCAGCTCATGCACGGTTGCTGTCCGCTAATGGGAGATGTTGAGGGATGTTTCTGTCCCGAGCCTGCGGGTTCCCCATCTCCATCCTTGGCTTGGGTGAATCCATGGATGGCAGCAGGTGCCAATGACACCCGCCCACTGCTTTCCAGACAGAGCCGCAGCTCCCCAGCCATTTCTGGGCCATTGTCCCTCTGCTCTGGCCAGCTTTCCCCGGCTGTGCTGAGCCACTCTCCCCTTCTGTCTGCACTCAAGCCCACAATGGCCTTCTCTTGGTTGCCGGAACGTTCCATGTCCGGGACACACCTTGGGGCCTTGGCACGCGCTGACCCCTCACTGAACTCTCTTTCCTTGCCCCCTGCCCTGGCTCCCCCTCCTCCTCTTTCTGACTGAGGTCTTGTTGGCAGATCCCTCTCTGTCCAGGCGCTTGGAATATGGCACTACTCCGCTCCCTGGGGCCTACGGGAGCTTCGAGAATCACCTGTCGGCTTTTCTTTTCCTTATTCACGTACAAGAACATTTTGGGTGCTGGGGTTCCTGGAGACTTTGAGACGGAAGCTGGAGAACAGGGAAGGAGCTCTCCTGTTCGTCCTGCCAGGATCTGAGAGGGCTGCTTTTTATGTTGAATCCTGGCCTGCCGCTCTCCAGCTGTGACAGCTGAGCACTTGGCCCCACCACACTAAGCCTTGGTTTTCTCGCCTGTGAAGTGGGAGTGGCACAGGTGGTGTAGGCTGGTGAGGGTTAGGGGAGGTGGCCTCTGCATCACCTTCCTTCTGGCCCCTTCCCCCCCAGGCACACGTGTTACCAGAAAGGGGTCCTGATCTAGACCCCAGTAAGGGTTCTTGGATCTCACGCAAGGAAGAATTCAGGGCAAGTCTGTAAAGTGAAAGCAAGTTTGTTAGAAAAGTAAAGGAATAAATCGGACCAGGCACGGTGGCTCACGCTTGTAATCCCAGCACTTTGGGAGGCTCAGGCGGGCAGATCACCTGAGGTCAGGAGTTCCACACCAGCCTGGCCAACATAGTGAAACCCCATCTCTACTAAAAATACAAAAATTAGCCAGGTGTGGTGGCACGTGCCTATAGTCCCAGCTACTGGGGAGGCTGAGGTAGGAGAATCACTTAAACCCGTGTTAGAAATGCTAAATGCTTGTTCTCTGGTGCCATAAAGAAATAGCACTTGAACATAAATTTAATTCCCTCAGCAAGGCAATTTTTACTTTCTGCAGAAAGGGTACACTCGCCAGCAGTCTTGCCCCGAGAGTGCAATGAACAGAGGGAGAGCAGACATATTTATCCCTTATGCATTTGGGTCATCCTTACTGCTGTGTCCTGCATCCATTGGCTGGAGCCAGACCTCACAGTCTAAACTGATACCCAGTCCAGGAGGCAGAGGTTGCAGCAAGCCTAGACGGCGCCATTGCACTCCAGCCTGGGGAACAAGAGCGAAACTCTGTCTCGAAAAAAAAAAAAGGAAAGGAAAGGAATAAAAGAATGACTACTCCATAGACAGAGCAGCCCCAAGGGCTGCTGGTTGTCCATTTTTATGGATATTTATTGATGATACGCTAAGCAAGAGGGGGATTCTTCAGGCCTCCCCTTTTTAGACCATACAGGGTAACTTCCTGACGTTGCCAGGGCATTTGTAAACTGTCATGGCGCTGGTGGGTGTGTAGCAGTGAGGACGACCAGAGGTCACTCTCATCACCGTCTCGGTTTTGGTGGGTTTGGGCTGGTTTCTTTATCGCAACCCGTCTTATCTGCAAGGTCTTTATGACCTGTGTCTTGTGCGGACCTTCTATCTCGTCCTATGACTTGGAATGTCTTAACCATCTGGGGATGCAGCCCAGTAGGTCTCAGCCTCATTTTACCCAGCCCCTATTCAAGACGGAGTTGCTGTGGTTCACACGCCTCTGACACAGCCATCAGCACTCCAGGATCCACTGCGCCTTCCTGATCCCAATGGGGAGCTCAGGCCCGCAGCTGCTGCAGGGCTGCGGCTGCTCTGTGGTTGAACTTACACCCCTTCCCGGGGCTCGCTTCAGGAGCAGCTGTGCCTCTGGGGTCCGCGGGGAAGCCTGCCGGCTGCATCTATAGAAAGCTTCCTCTTGGTGCCACAGGCTCCTGAAAGAGGCAGTTTCCTTCCTCTGGACGTTGCTGGAGGCCCCTGAGGCCTGAAGCTGCAGGATGCTCTGGCCCATCCTGAGAGAAGCCCACCATGCCGGAGCCCCAGGCATGGAAGAGGGAAGCAGATGCCACCGGAAGTACACGCTCCCTCCGGACGTCCAGTTGCAAAAACTAACAGACGTCCTCACAGGTTCCCCAGTTTGACTTGGGTTTCCTGTTCCAGGGGCAAGTTCTGTATGACCCAACACTTTGCCTGTAGCTTTGAGCATGAAGCTGGGTACCTAGGACACCTGGAACAACGGTGGGCTGTGGTGAACGTTGTTTGTTTATTTATTTATTTGAGACAGAGTTTTGCTGTCGCCAAGGCTGGAATGCAGTGGTGCAATTTCAGCTCACTGCAACCCTTGACTCCTGGGTTAAAGCGATTCTCGTCCCTCAGCCTCCCTAGTAGCTGGGATTACAGGCGCATGCCACCACACCCTACTAATTTTTATATTTTAAGTAGAGATGGGGTTTCATCATGTTGGTGAGGCTGGTCTTGAACTCCTGACCTCAGGTGATCTGCCCACCTCAGCCTCCTAAAGTGCTGGGATTACAGTCATGAGCCACTGCGCCCAGCCCATGAATGTTATTATTGTGGCCGTCACAGCTCCTGTCCCTTCCAGGAGCTGCTTAGGGTGGGAGTTGTGGCTGCCTGGCTTGGTCCAGGCCTGGAGTGGACGTTGCAGGGTGTGGCCCAGATGGTGCAAGCACTGAGCCTTGCTGTCCTCAGGTGGCTGCCAGCAGCTGTCAGCTGAGCCCACAGCTTGCCTTTGGCCAGAGGGGGCCCACAGCAGTTCCTCCATTCTGGTGGCCAGCAGCTATGTGGCCATGGGACAGTGTGAGAGCCCTCGGGCTGTGGTCACATCCACCATAAATGGACAAACGAGGTGGCTTACAGAACAGGAATCCACTGTCCCAGTTCTGGAGGCAGGCATCTGAGGTCAGGGTGACAGCAAGGCTGTGCTCCCTCTGAGGGCTCTTGCGGAGGGTCCTTACTGTCCCCTGGCGGGTGGCTGCACCACTCCGGTCTCGGCCTTGGCCTTCACATAGCCTCTCCCCTGCATGTCTGCGTCTGCCTCTCCCTCCCCTTATAAGGGCCTAGTCATAGAATTTAGGGCCCACCTTCCACACTAAGATGAGTGTGACCTCATCCTAGCTCATTCCATCTGCAAAGACCCTACTTCCAAATATGGCCACGTTCTGGAGTTCCAGGTGGATGTGCATTTTGGGGGATGACATCTTCTTTGTGGCAGGTGATGGAAAAGGGTTCTAACCAAGAGACTTCTGTGTGGGGCCTCACTCTGATTCTCAACCATAGTGCTGGGTACACGGCAATGGCCCCTTTGTGAAATTCATCAAACAGTGGACACTTAGGGCATGTACATCACACTTAAAAAGTCTGCATTAAAATAGAGGGTCAGGCTGGGC